AACTTCTTCAGTATGTTTGTGAAAAAGTCCTGTAGGTACTTCTCTAGGGTCACTATGTCCTTTGCATCCACACCCAGAGCCTTATACGTCTCGCCCATTGGAACAGAAAAAACATCATCTCTCGTTAAAACCTGGTGAAAACCCAACACAAAAGGGACTCGTTATCTTCGATCCATCAGAAACTGTTTTTCATCTCCCCAAAGTTACGAAATGGAGTTTTAGGAGCGATTGGAGCTTTTAGAATACATTTGTACACTTTTGCTCCAAAAATTATTCGTATTATATGCCCCCTCCATCCAAAAATGAACTTTCACAATTTGACTTCACACAGTTTTAAGAGAAGTGTTGAAAATTAGGTGAAAGGTGTGAACTTCACTTTAGAACATTCAGAAAAGGAAAGTGTAAACTATCAAGAATGGGATTATCCACTAGCAAGTGATCACGCACCTCGGAGAACGCCAATCTGTCAGCAACGTCGTTTGTCCACTCAAACAAACGAGTGAGTTGCCGTGTGAAGCGCAAAACTGAAACAGGAACTGTGGTGACATTTGCATCTTGCCCCGCAAGCCGCTCACACAATGTTATCACCTATATGCATGCAGACATAGAACTAAACCAAACAAAACCAAACCAAACCCTTGATGCAAAGAGAAACACAGTCTATATAAGTGGGTTAAACAGGGGAAAACGGTCTAATGCATTGGTTAAAATAATTACTTCCTCCATCCCATAAATGAGCTGTATGTGAAGATGCTAATTTTCATTATATCCATAGATTTGAACTTTAAAAATTACTCCGTGTGTCAAACTAGTTAAATATGATAAATTTAATTAGATCAACAAATAAATTTAAAAATATAGTTTCAGCATCCTGTTGAGGTTTTCCAACTTGTTCGGGCAGAGATTGAGAAATTCCAAAATTGTTTGGTATCATTTGTTTAAATAACCATATGATAACCACAAAATTGTTTAGATAACCACAGATTTGTTTTTCCAACATGATAACTACACATTTCTTTTCCTAGAATGGAAACTTAAAAAGTACTTTGGAAGGGACAAAAAGAATGGCAAAAACCCCCAGCAGGACGGAGGGAATAGTTTTGATCTGATGATTTCTACAGGTGGATCAGTTGAACCCCACTAAAATTAAAAAGATGTACATTCTTGAAATAGGACTTAATAATGAGGAGGCCGTGTAACTTATTATTGGCGGAAATTTCTACATAGATAACATACTTGAGCAAGTTTTCATGTGGAAAAATAACTAATCAAAACAAACCCAGTGAGACTCAAGAGTAGGGTTTGAGGCAAAGATGTATACAAACCTTCTACCCTAATGGAGTAGCGAGGCTGTTTTTGAGAAGAACCCTAAAAAAGAGTGCTACATAAGAGATTTACCTCTTGCGTTGTCCAAGCCCGAGGACCAGCAAAGGTTAGAAGCTTCCCATTGATATTCTCGTTGCGCAAAGCGATGAATGTCAATCGAGCAATGTCCTAGACAACAAAAGAGCACACTGCTTAGGAAAAAAATACAAGTTGGTGCTGATGTGAAGGAAGAAGGTAAGAAAACTAACCTGTGTGTCCATGTATGCTATTCGAGTAGGGGCATTAGTTCCCCATACAGATTTCTCTTCTAATATAGGCACAGCATATTGTCCAACCAAACCCTACAAAAAAGGGTCAACAAGTACTTAAGTAGCAGTTTAGTAGACAATTTTTCGTCTTATAACCCAGAATTTTTACTAAACATTAGTTTCTTTGACATACTCCTAAACTAGTAAATAATTATAATACATATTTGTTGAAGTTGGCTGGATTATCTTATACTCCGTATAAATTATATAAGATTTATTTCTTAAACAAAAAAAACCTGCATCAAAATACGGAAAAAGGAATTTCATTTGTTGAATTTCATTCATTTCAACAACAAAAAAAAGTTAACTTGTGCTCTACTTTTTTTCTTCTTCATGAGTTAGTATTTGGCGAAGGCTGGGCTGACAAAAGGTACCATATTTGCTAAAGATTGCATCTTTTTTTATAAAAATAACTAAGGGTTGACATTTACTGGCCAGCCGGGATGAATACCTGCATGAAGCCACATAGACGAATGATGATGTGGTTCATACCACAACTTTGAAGAAACTTCTCAGTACAGAACTTGATCTCCATGAGAGGAACTTCGGGATGCTTATCGCAGTTGTGAATTGAGAAAAAAACAAACTTCTGAATGCCCATTGCCTTTGCACACTGTATTAGAGCAACTTTCCCTTCCCAATCTACCTAAAATTGAATGTGTAGTTCAAATAGTATTTAAGTATCCCCACCCCATAACCGTTTGATCAGAAGCCGATTTTGTGAAGGAAGAAAAACAAAGTGCAGACCCCCCCATAAAATGCCTACCGTTTTTATGGGTTCCTCGGGACGCCCGGTTGCACAGTCGATAACTGTATGGATCCCAACCAATGTAGCGGGTATTGTCTCAGGTTTTCTCAAGTCTGCCTGCTCAGAATAATCACCTCTTAGACAATACTTTGTTTATCTCTTAATGGTTTCTACAGCTTATTGACAAGCAATAGTCTTAATTTTTTTCATGTATCTTATTCAACAAACTTCTTTCCACATTAAGGCTCTGTTCTTTTCAGTTTGAAAAATTAACTTCCAACTTTATCAAACACCATCCGGTTTTTTCCAACTTCTTCCTATTTTTTCCAACTTCTTCCAATTTCTTCCAACAACAGCTTAACAAATGTACTCCGTATTTAAGTATGATGACTAAAGAATAACATTATATTTATGAGTAATTTACTTAAATAGCACTAAAACATGATGACTTTCTTTAAATAGCATCACATGTGTTTTTCTTCCCAATGTAGCACTTTTAGTCATTATGCATTAGTCATTATTCAAATAAATATTTGCCATCACTGGACATTATGGACATTATTAAATGCTATTTAGGGAATAAAACAATTTAAGTGCTATTTAGAGAAATGACTTAAGTTTTAGTGCTATTTAGTGCAAATATTTCTATATTTATATATATCCAAATTTATAACATAACAATTAACACCTCAAATTTGGCAAAGATGAATTCTTTTTTATATCTAGAATTAGTTTTCTTACGTAATTCTTTGGGTGACCATTTAATTGAGTGATTTTTTAACACTTTATTTTTTCAACATTTCCCAAACCCTTCTAGTTTCTTCCAAATACTCTCAGTTTCTTCCAACTTCTTCCAGTTTTTTCCAACATCCAACTTTAGAATTCCAATTGAAAAGAACAGAGCCTAGCTACCTTAAGCCTCTTTCCACATTGACAAGCACTTCTATTCAGAGAGAAAGAACTCACATTGACAACAGTGGCACCCCAATCACGGAGAAAGTCAGCGGGAGAAGGCCTAGCTCTGACGAGGCACCTGACGTCATACCCCTCGTCCAGAGCCCTCCTCACGATCTGTCTTCCTAGGGTTCCGGTGGCCCCTACGACCAGTATGCTCGTCCGGCGAACCGGAGTTCCGGGAGCCACATCCAGAACGCTCTTCTGCGAATCACACGCAATCCTCGCCGCACTGTGATTTCTTCCTAAATTATACACTCCGCCGCTTCAAAACTCTGCGTTTCGCTCCAAAAAAAAAACGAATCTCGGAAATTGAGTAGGAAATCGCGAGTAGAAGCAGCGCGCGTACCTCTGGTGGAGGAATGAGGGGGAGGGAAGAGCGGGGAATCCACCGCCCTTCGCCGGGAAAAGGAAAGCGCGTGGTACTGCTCAGCCGGTTGTTGTCGGCGGTGAATGCTGCTGAGTTTGATGGAATGGGCGGCGGCGTGGAGGGGAGAAGCCATCGCCGGACCGATCTGGTCGTTTCCCGTTTGTTGGCCGGGGGGAAGGAAATGCTAGCAGGCGCGCGCAGTAGTAATCAACATAGGAAGCTAATCTGAGGCGAATTGATTCAATTTGGATGGAAGACTTGGAGAAGACATTAGCAGAAGAGAAGAAGAAGAAGAAGAAAGAAAGAAAGAAAACAGAGAAGCAAAAGGTGGGAAAGATGCCACGTCCTCTCCTTGTGTGTTTGGATTAAGAAATTATTGTTTGCCCCTCGCGTAAATAAGATTTCTTTTTTTTTGTATCAACAATTTTTTGCATGTAACGCACCAAAAAATGTACCTTAATTATACTTTAAAGAAATGCATTGATATTTTAACGATTCTTAAAATAGTATACTGACATTTTTTGTCAATGTAAATCACCATACTAGCATCACACTAACACTAAATGTCAGTGTATAAATTTGGGGTGCATCAATATATGACATTTTTTTGTTATATTTTGAGAGAAAAGATGTTTTTACTAAAAAAGATTGAAATTTACTAAAATATAATTAATGAAAAATATTTTAAATGTTTAGAAATGTACTAAATAAAATATGTGAAGATAATAATACTCTCCATCTCAAATTTAAAGTTCCTGCTTCGGTTTACGATATTTGATTGAAATTATTTTCAAATCATTTTATAAAAAAAACGTATAGAATTTAAAAATAAAAATTATATGTGATGACATGACTATATTATTTTATTGAATTACTAACGAACACAAAGAAAGAAAGTGAGTGAAGTTTAATCAAGTGAATAGTAAATATTTAATTTAATTTTTTAAGAAGGGAGTAGTATTTTAAATATTAAAAAAGTAATAAAAAATTCTTTTCTAGACAACAAAAAAAATTCAAACAAAATTAGAGTGGGTATTAAACAATAAGATATTTGAGAAATCAGACCATATTGTCTTCAATTTATTCTTACTACTTATAACTTTTTATTATTGGAATCACTTAAGATCAGACCAAATATGATCATTTCATAAACATTTTTACATACAACTACATTTAGATCATGTCAAAAATTATGTCGTAAGTAATACCGAGTATGAAGTAGGAAATTTTAATATAATTACTTTCTCAGACCAATAATAAACTTTCCAATTAGTATTACAATCTTTCGAATTGAATTAAATTTTCATCCTTCAAAAAAAAAAAAGAATTAAATTTTCAATTTTATTAAGTTAGGGCGTTAGGGCCAAAAGAGAAGCTTGGAAGTAACCGAATTGGGGCAAACCTTTTACCTTTGGCTCTGGTTTCAGTTGCCTGCTTCCGTTCCACCACAAGAGCTAAGAAGCCAAGCAACAAAAAAAAAAGTAAAAAAAAAAAATCAATTCTTTTCCCCCAGTTCGCAGTCTCCTCTCCCGTTTGCTTTCTATGCTGCGGAATTGCTTGGTAAGAATGCTCCAATTTTTTCCAGTTTTTATTTCTGCACTTTACCCTAAGATAATGGCAATCGTTTCACGAAATCCCAATTATTCACTCTACCCTAATATTGCACAAATTTTATCATGTAGTCAAGAAGATTTTTTCTTTGTTCCTAATTTTTTATTTTTTTAATAATTATTTTGCTGCGGATGATCGAATTAGTAATCAATTTGGGGATTATGAGGGTTAGCCTCTTTTTGATGAATCTTATACTTTGACCCCTTTAGTCTTATGATATTGTGTGCTCTAACCCTTGGGTTTACAAAGATGTTATGTTTGGCTCAATGGAAGGAAGACTTAGGATGAATCTAGAGGAGTTTTGGTGAGAAAAGTGAAGAGGAAATTAAGGAAAGAGACCATCCCTCTCCAATGGCATGAGTGTATGAGGTGTTTGGAGGAGGCCATGACTCATTCGCTGCTTTCTTCCCGTCCCGTCCCCGTAGCTTCCCCAACCGAACACACAACACTCCTTTCGTTCTCTCAAACGTCCTACAACCAAATAAGGGGAAAGAGTAAAAGTTGGATTCGGTCAATTATCTTGTCATCTATGTTGCACGGATCCTTCGAATAAGTGTCAAGGAAATCAACTCAACCAAAAGCCCGAGCTTGTGGTTGTAGGCCCGGGATAGGTTTTATAACATATACTCTAACACGCCCCTTCACGTGCAGACGAGGTTTATTTTTGCTCAAGTCTTGCACGTGAAAATTAATTTTTTAAAACTGGATGGTAATGAGATTTTAACTCGTGACCTCTTGGTCATCAAGATTCTGATACCATGTCAAGGAAACCATCTCAACCAAAAGCTCAAACTTAAGGTTGTAGGCCAGGTTAGGTTTTATACTCTACCAATAAGTGACCCTTCTTGTCCCCAAAACATCCCCATTTGCGTACTTAGGGACGTTTCCGGCCATGTTCCCGTATGAGTACCCGTGCCGGTCTCCGTGGAACAGCTTTTCATAAACTTGTACCTATGGGAGAGCTTGTGGTCAGTAATCTTTGGGTGTGACTGCTAAAGATCAACCCGCGCCCTCATTGTGTTGGTTAACATGCACAAACACGCATACCCAGATATAGAATTTCTCTTTGGGGGTTGCTTATTTGTTGTTATGGGCAAACATGTAGCAAAAAAAAGTCATCATTTCAATCCCACCAATGCCTTTTGAGTTGGATAATGCATATAAAGTTAGTTTTCCTTAAAATGTATCCAATACTTTTCAACTAATTTGCATCATGAGCTGGAAACTGCAGATGAAATTGATTTACTGAATTTGAAGCAAATATTCCCTCACATCTTTCTTTCTTCTGAATTTTCTTTCTCTGGCATTTCACAGGTTCCAAACACACCCTAAGTGTTCCATATTTTTTTTCTAGATGGACCAACAAATAGCTGTTCCTAAATTCGGGGAATATGGGGCAACTGCTGAAAGCGGCGTGCCCAATTCTGACAAGCCACCACCAGTTCCAGGAGCTACTAAAGTCTTGACATTGCAAGAGGAGGGTAGGGGCCCCACAGGTGAAGCTTCCAAGATCTGTGGTTCCAAAAGAACCACCCCGGATTGCCCCGTAACCATCAATTCCGGAAACGGGCATCTGGTGTATGTCCGAAGAAGACCCGAAGTGCAGACGAAGGACATCAGTAAACCAGAAACATTGGAAATCCCAAAGGCCTCATTGTTGCCTGCCAAACAGCCTTCGGCGGTTTCTTCTTCATCTGAAAAATGCAATAATGTTTCATCTAACCTTGATAATGTACATTTGTTGGATACTCCAAAAAGAGCAAAACTTAAGCAGTGGGAAGAGCGGTATTGCAGGTTGCAGAATTTGTTGAGTAGTTTGGACCAATCCAAGCAAGAGGATTACATCCAGAGTATGTGCTCAGTTCTCTTAACAGTTGACACCCATTTGGCTTCAGGTTCTTAGGTTCTGTTTGAAGGGATGATTTTAGAGGGTTTTGTGTGTATTTTTGTTTATTCTCCTTATTTATGATTTAATATAAATTAAAAAGATTTATATGTAATAATATGATCAAGTCCTTCAAAGCCTCCCCATCCTACACCTTCCATGCAAACAGACCCTTACACTATGATTGGTTCAAGGAATTTGAAAGGGAAAAGAAAAGAAAATGAAGTGGAAAACAATTTTTCTTGTTTGGTTAGAAGGGAAAAAAGGAAAAGAAAATGAGAAGGCAAATGTACTAAGTGGAGGAGAAACCAAATTCCTCCTAGGAAAATGAGAGAAAATCATTTTCTTTTTCTTTTCCTTCCAAATTCCTTGAACCTAACATAGTGTTAATGATTTCTTAGGTGTCCGCTGTTTCTAACTTCAAATCTTTTTCTTATACAGTGCTTAGATCACTCTCTTCAGTTGAGCTCAGTAAACACGCTGTTGAACTAGAGAAGAGGGCAATACAGCTTGCTTTTGAGGAAGGTAACCCAAACACTAATTGTTGTTTTATGCTTTAACCACACAGCTATTTACCTATTTAATTTCTTCTATGCCATTTCCATTTAGATCCAGATCCATATATATAAGTAGAAGTCACATTTAAGGGTCAGAAGAGAAAATTAGTATAATTCACATATACTTCTCTTTAGTGAAAATGAGCGATAATCTTGGGATTAGACTTGACGAAAAGTAAAGTGTGAAGATAATTCAAAAAGTTCGCGAGTAATTGTTGGGTCATCCATTACTAATGGAGCTAAAAGGGTGCGTCATCATTTACAATGTTTTAACTTCAGGTAAATAATGAACTAAATTAGAATGACACAAAATCTCCCTTGCATCTTACTTTTTATGAAGTTTTGGGTAGTAAAGATCAATATATAAGAATATGAGTTACTCCTCCCAATTGGGTTTGGGATGAAATCTCACAATTCCACGTGGTGCATCGGAATTGAGGCTTATGAGCTCAAATTAGAAGCTTATGTCCATTCGAGCAAACAAAAAAGACCCAAGTTGTACTTAAGGGGACCCAAGTTGTACGTAAGGGAATGCTGAGGATATAAAGTCCCACATTGTTAGAATATAAAACATATCTTGGACCTACAACCATACGCTTGAGCTTTTGGTTGAATCGGTTCTTTGACATGATATCGGATTCTTTGTTGAACAAGAGGTCACGTGCTTGAGCTTATGGTTCCTTTAACATTATCAAGGAACCAATTCATTCAAAAGCTCAAGCTTGTGGTAGTAGGCTCAATCAAGATATGTTTTATATTCTAACAACATAGAACATATATTATGAATTCATCCTCTTGTTGGTAATTGGTTTTAGGACAAAACCTCACGACTCTACACCGAGTCTCCAACCTAAAAAAACATACTTGGTTGTTGTTGTTGTGAGTAATTGTTGGGTTTGAAATGATTTTTATTGTTAAAAAATGGCTCAGCAAAAGAGATGCGATGGGTCAAAGTGTTGGATGTGATGGGGAAGGATTGGAATTCCAGAGCTAAACTTCAATAACAAAAGTGACAGACAGATGAAGTAGGAAAGGAAGAATGAAGTAGGAAAGGAAGATCATACTGCTGTGAGGTTTTTTTGGTTCTTTTCTCTTGAAATAATTAATTACTGAGTATAATTTTAACTTTTAAGCCAGAGGATGTATAGTGCACGTATGATTTTAACCTCAAACAGCCAAAGTAAATTGTACTCCGTATCTTATTTAATCACGTTACGTGAATATATTTTTTATCCGTATAATTTATAATGGGTAAATAATTCTAGTAATGTTTGCATTTTACTGCATCAACATATTGCTATCATATTTGAATTGACATTTATAAACCCCAAAGTTTTAAGAGTTCAAATTTCTTTGTTTTAAAACCTATAAAATTGATTTTATGTACCTTAACATTAAAACATTGCTACATTGGAGTCCTATTTAACATGTGGCCTTATGCAAATGCATCACCTAGAGAATCCCAATGGGTGACCTTGAAGAATTGAAATAATTTTATTGTAATTTAAACGGAATTAAATAATGCCAAAATTAATTTAAGTGAACGAAATCACAAAATATCACGAAATTTATTCATCTTAATCAATATCAGAAATTTATTGAAAACGGTATCACTCACATTACCGATGTTATATCACGTGAAATGTCATTTGTATATTTGTCATTTCCCAGATTTGCCCCCCCCCTCTTATACATAAATTTCATTTGGCACTTATTTATTTATTCATTTATTTATTTATATTAATATGTATTTTTTAAAATTATTTGTGTACCATCAAAGAAGATTAAAGTAATTAAGTAAGAGGGGTAAGATGGGAAAACACACACACACGTTCCCACTTTGGCGTCGTGTAGCTGAGGATTGGAGGTTTGTTACTTGTTAGTAGTTAGTACAAAGCTCAAGTAGTGACTAGCTAGTGGGGAGAGAGGGGGTAACTAATTTACTGACACAAATTGTTCTTAATAATAATAATAATAATACTAATAATAATAATAATAGTAATAATAATAATAATAATAATAATAATAGTAATAACAACAACAACAACAACAACAACAACAACAACAACAATAATAATAATAATAATAATAATAATAATAATAATAATAATAATAATAATAATAATAATAATAATAAAAACAACAACAACAAGACCAACAACATTTTTTGAAACAACAACAATAATAATTTTTTTTGTACAACTATCACATTGAATTCTTTTTTCTGGAACACCGAGAGTGAGAGACTCAGAGACTAGTGGTCTATTTGGCATGAGCTTAAACTTTTTGAAAAGACAATCTGATAGTAAATTTTAGCATTTTCAAAATTATTTAAAAGTTGCATTTTCCGATAGTCAACATATAATTTTAACATTTTCAAAATTATTTTTTAAAATTTAAAACTTTCCAAAACAAAACCTGGGAGTACTTAATAATTACTATTGCACTCTCTGAGATCAAATTAATGTTCTACGAAATATTTTATTATTTACACGATCAAATTATATTTTCTTTCTATGTATAGTTACATCGATTATTTAATGATATAAAATGCTGAAGCAACTTATCTTTTTATAACTTTTAATACTTCATTTAATTTTTAAATATTACATAATACTCTCTAAGAGTTTATTTTTTAATTCTAAAACAACTTTTAAATATATTGAATAAAAAATAATTCAGAAAGATATGTCAATTAATGAATGAGTCAAAGAAAAAAAAAGAAGAATCTACTATTAAGGCCTGTTTGGGAATAGCGTTAGCGATTAACGTTAGCTTTTGAAAAGGCTATCTACACGCAGCGTTTAGCGTTAGCGTTTTCAAAGTTATCTGCAACGTTAAAATTTTATCCAAAACACTAACGCTAATCTCTAACGCTATTCCCAAACAGGCCCTTAGTAGAAATACATACTTCCTTCTCTCAAAATAAATTTCATTCTTGGACTTGGAAGAGTTCAAGAAAATGCTGAAAAATAAAAAAATTACGATTAAAATTTATTCAGAAAAGAACAAATTTGGGAACAATACGTTTCATTGCTTAGTGGGAAAAAATTGTTAAATTTATTTTGAAAAAATAATAATAATAATTGTGAAGTGGTAAAGATGAATTGTATGGGTGAATTATGGATACATTGGATAGAGATGGACAACCGAAAGTAACTACCCACAATAACCGCTCTCCGGATTACGCTTACATAATTACCGCTTAGCCTTCCCTGCAAACTTTTCTGCATCTTTCTCCTTAATCAATCCTCTGCAAATCACTCCAATTGCTGCTATCCACGGCCACCATGAACATGAACAGTAGCAGCTTTACTCCGCCCCTGCCGCCGCCCATTGACGGCAATGCTGCCGCCGCCGCTCCTCCACCTTTACAGATGGTGGCGGCGGCAGTCCCCTTCAACATGCATCCTCCGGAGCAGAAAGTGAGAAGAAGGCCCAAATATCCTCCCACCACCGCGAGTGCCGCCAAGAAGTCGCCCGCAACGCAGCAGGACCCGCCCGGGCCGTGCACCGAGTGCGGGAAGAGGTTCTGGTCGTCCAAGGCACTGTACGGTCACATGCGCTGCCACCCGGAACGGACGTGGCGGGGGATTAACCCCCCTCCCAATCTCAACCGCGGGCGGCTAACCCAGCCCCCGGACGAAGACTGCCTCCCCAGTAGCAGTCTTCCCTTAGGGCTGCCCCAGCAGGGGGCTCTGTCCCTACTCCCATCCCCACCCTTACACTGTCCTAACCACTCCCAAAAAATGACAGAGGAAGAGCACGACGTGGCGGCGTCCTTGTTGCTGCTGGCTCAAAGGGAGACTACCAGCCAGCAGTTCTACCGGAACACGGTCGACCGGGCCCACGTCGAGGGCAGTTTCGGGATTAGCAGAAACGACAAAAACAACGAAGATGGGGAGATGGTGATTAACCTTAAAAGCCACAAATGCAGCATCTGTTCAAGAGTTTTCTCCAGTGGCAGAGCCTTGGGTGGACACAAGAGATGTCACTGTAGCAGCGGCAGCGGCGGTGGAGGAGACTATCGTCTTCTTCTTCGTTGTCCTCCGCCGCCTCCCCTCGCCTCCTCCTCTTCCTCGCTGGTGGGCCCCACCGTCAATTATCTGGATTTGAACTTCTTGCCGCCGCCGCTGCCGCCGCCTGCAACTCCTTCTTTCCATATGCAAGGGGAGGATCCTTTCTATTACTACTACCCAATACCCTCTTCTTCTTCTTCTTCTTCTGCAACCCTTCCTGCTTTAGATTTGAGGTTGGGACTCTAATTTGGCTCAACTCAAAACATATCATACTCATAATTTGTATACTATATATAAGCATACTATAAGTTTAGCTAGTACTTCATGTATATATGCAGGAGTAGGACAATATACATATATGTAGTAATTATTAATTAACTCATAACTTTGTATGTATTATGTAATCTTTAGATTGCCTTAAATTACTTGCCTGGAATGTTTACTTCAGAGATTCTTCAATATTCATACTTCTCATCAGCTCATATATCCCACATTGTACTACTAAAACCTGAACAGAAAATACATAGTGATATGGAATAATTATACAATCAATGCATTCAATGAAACTCGCTCACAAAATTCGTACGAAGGAATTCAATGAAGAAGTTACGAACCTTTAATCCTATACAATAAAATTAAACACCCCTTTATAAGCGGATCGTACTTACACAAGTGTGTGTGTGTTATAGTGATGATATTGATTCATACAACAACAACAACCCAGTAGGATCCCACAAAAGTGGGGTGTAGGGACTAGGGAGGGTGTGTGTACGCGGACCTTACCCCTACTAGAAAGTGGAGAGGCTGTTTCTAGGAGATACCCGGCTATATATTGATCCAATAAATGTTACATACCCCTCCCCCACTCACATACACACGCATACTATTGCCTACGCCGAGGCCATGATATTCACACGCACACACTATCTCTTGATATTGATCCACAAGTGTCCCTAGTGCTTAATGCCGAAGCTTTTGGCTTTTCTTGAGTGCCAATGCCGAAGCCTACCTTCCATGATAGTCGCAGTTGAAGCCTAGGCTCAGCCTGCCCCGATGACCGGGGCCTAGCAAGGAGCCGATCAGACCATGGACTTATATCCATCAATGTGTGTGTGTGTGTGCGTGCCACTGCCATCACGAACTAGGATACACCATTCATCCTTGTCGACCACCAACAAAACCTTCAATTGGTTCAATTGTTTGAACAATGTCACCTATAATTCTGCAGTTTAATTTACTGAAGCCAGTTTACAGTGCGGGAAATTGACCAAAAATGTCATCCTTCAGGGGATGTATACTAGCCATGCATATTTTTACCCCAGCCATTGATTACCCTCTTCAAGTTTCTCATTGCAATTGCACTACCATCATCTCTGTACAAATAGGTCAAAGTGTTAATATGACAGTTGTGTGAGAGAACAAGAATTACCTTTTAAAAGGATAAGTAGGGTTGACTAAAATTGCCTTTTTTCGTTTTGTTTTGTTAGGGTATTTAACAGAGAACATGATTCATCACAGGATCTACAGCATAAAGGGAAGCACTCGTAAGTTGTGATTGCTAGAATTGTATAAAGCAAAAAGAGAACCCAAACACATTGTTACAAGAAGGGCGGAGAGAGGTTAAAAAAAAGAACCTTTGCACAATTTTCTGCCAGTCAGCTGTTCCATTCATATCATCTCGTCTCTGTCTATTTGGCTCCGTGTTATTTTTGTTGGCCTTGCTTCCATCCTTACATCTAGAAACCATCTCCATCATACACTTTTCAAGTTCATCAGACTCATGTTTTTTCCTTGTTCTACGTAAACCATCAATAACTGGCAAAAATGATGCAGGATCAAACACATATCCGCAACCCATCATCCTCTTCAGTACGGCATGCCCACTTTCAAGATCCTCTCCCTTGCAGAGTTTGTCAATAAGATCTTTGTAAAGGAACTCACTCACATCAAAGCGTTTATCTAGTGATGCTTCAAATAGTAACTTGGCATCCAAGATTTCTCCTCCGGCAAGCAGCTCGTTAAACATTATTTTATAAAGAGTTTCTTTGTGGCCATAGATACTTAGTCCGATTTGAAACACCTCTTGTGCTGGTCTGAACTCTCCAATCCCACAGAATGCTTTAATTAACAGTTCAAATGTATGTGTATTAGGCAGTGTTTGTTTCTCCAACATTTCTTGTAGAAGATGAGTGGCTTCTTCGGTTCGTCCTTCTTCACACAGACACCGGATCATGATGTTGTAGGTGTGAACGTTTGGAAAAATCCCTCTTTCTCTCATTTCATCCATCAGTCCGAACATTTCGAATATTTGATTCTTGGACCCCAATCCAAAGATGAGAGAGTTGTAAGTTTGCAAGTTCTTCTCACACCCTTTTCTCTCCATGTCCTTTACAACCTGAAATGCAGATGCAATCTTACCCTTCTTGCACAAGTGATGCAGTATAGTATTGTAAACGACTGAATCTGGAAACAGTTTTCTCTCCATCATCTCAACGAATGACTTCTTAGCTTCACCTAGTCTCCCATCCTTACATAAACAATTGATAATGGTTGAATAAGTGATCAAGTCAGGAAAGCATTTCTTTTCCTGATTGAGAAACAAATTTCCCAAATTGCCCAGAAGAGCTGCGGAAGGACTTCCGTGATTCCACATTTCCCCAACCATTTCTACCGCTTTGTCCAACTTCCCTGTTCTACACATGCCATCAATCACAATATTACAACTCGCAGTATCAAAAGGGTAACACCTTTCATCCATCTTTTGTAACAACATCTTTGCTTCTGATACCTTACCTTCTTTCCAAAGACTGGACAACAAGACGTTACAGGTGTGGGTATTAGGGTTACACCCACTTTTCTTCATGTCAATCAGAACATTGTTCGCCTCGGTGACTTTGCCTTTTAAGCAGTAGGCATGGAGGAGAGTAGTGTAAGTGACCGTGTCTGGGTAGACCCCATTGGATTTTAATAAGTTCATCAATGATCTAGCATCAGCAACCATTCCATTCTTGCAGAGACCATGTATCACGATGTTATACGAATAGATATTCGGTTCAACTCCGTTTTCCACCATTTCTGTCAAAAGAGATTGAGCCTCAGACAGTTTTGCATTCCTCACCAGCCCAGCAAGCCAAATATTGTAACTATTCACATTGGAGAAAAAGCCACGCCTCTTCATCGACTCAACCATGCATCTTGCTTCCTCCAACATTCCCTCCTTGCAAAATCCTTCCAACATCACATTAAAGGTTGTGTTATTAGGCTTTGGCAGCCCATAGTCCCCAGCATCATCTGCTTCCATATCCCTGAAAATCCTTGAAGCTTCCAAAACCTTCCCGGAGTCACAAAGAGCTGAAATCCTTGAGTTGAAGGTAACGACATTTGGAGCAAGCCCATCCTCATCTCTCATCCTCTCCACTAGTTTCTCGGCTTCACGTGTTTTGCCTTCCTTGCAGAAGGTTGAAATCAAAGTGTTGTATATCACCATATTAGGACAGACGCCCGTCTTCTTCACCAACTCCAAAAGTCCCAAAGCTTCAAAAGAAAGCCCGGACGAACAGTAACCTCGGATCAAAATGCCAAAAGTGTACTCATTAGGCTCACACCCTTTCTCACGCATTTTATCAAACACCTTGCGGGCATCCTGTAAGCAACCGGAATCGCAGAGACCAGCAATGAGGAGGTTGAACGTGTAAGTCTGGGGAGAAACACCGGCTAAAACCATATCTCTATACAACCAAGAAGCATAAGAAGTTCGCTTTAGAGAGGATTCAATGAGGAGATTGTAAAGAGAGACGGGGGGTTGTCGATCTGGGAAGCGGGTCCTCACGGACCGGAAGAGGGAAACGGCGCGGCCAACGTGGCCGGCTCCGGCGACGATTTTCACGACGGCGAACAGAGCGGGAAGCAAGGCGGAGTCCGCAGGTCGCCGAGAAAGGAGGAAGTCGCTGAGAGAGCGGAGTTGGGAGAACATTTTGGCGCGTACGAGGATGCGGGCGATGGGAGGGATCGACCGGAAAGGCGGCGGCGGCGAATGGGGAGCAGAGAGCGCGGCGCGGTTGAAGATGAGCCATGCCAGCTTCGGGTTGTTTGAATTCTGGATGATGACCTTGGTCAGTTTTCTGGCTTCTTCCATGCATCAGAGTGGCATTCACTTTACAGAAAATGGAGAAAATATAGACTAATTTGGAGCTGAAGAGGAAACAGTAGTTCATACCATCTTAGACTGCACTCTGGCTAAAAGGGTGTGGGAGAGTAGCGGGTTGATGCCGAAGTGTAGAAAGAGGAGAACAGAACAGTTCCTGTAACAGAATGCCCAATCTTACCTCCACCTAATCCTTGTTAAACCCCTCATCTCGCTCCGACCCGAACACACTCCCGCACCTCCTTCAATTGCACCCCACAAGTTAATTTTGATTTTGGAGTCAAAATTTGAAATGGGTGCGAGGGGTGGGGGTTTACAGGAGATTAAGTGAGATAAGAACCGTCAATTTTACGAATGGAGCACCGGAGCACTCCCTGTCCTTGGTCATCCCATGACAATGTCATGAACTCCACCCGACATATGAAACACCAGAAATGAGATCACACATGATGAATCTGTCGGTAATCTTGATTTAGTGGCTAAACAAGCAATCGAATTTTTAGAAGCATTCCAAAGACCACTAGAGTTCGCGACCACTATGAATGATGTAAAATTTGAGTACTTGAAAACCACCAGAGCTCGGTTGGTGGAAACTTAGTTTTGATGCTGGTTACGTTCAAAATTGGGAAGGGCAAGTTGTGGCAATGAGTTTAAACCAAAATCAGGGGTTTAAAGGTGTTGATGTACGTAGAGGAAGCAGAAGCTTGTTCATTCGGTATTCAAGAGGCTAAAAAGATGAGGTGTTCCAAACTCATGGTTGATGGGGATTGTGCGGCATGTTATATATTTTAAACTTCCGCGCGAAGAGTTGCGTGCTTTGGGTAATAGCCGCAAAAGGTGTCTTCTCCTTCTCACCCCTAGTATATAAAATCCCCCTGCGCATGGTCGAATTTCGTTCGGTTTTTACACAGCAATTCTCATATTTCGTTCTTGATACTTTCGAGTTTTATCCGATTGAATTTTGGAGTGAACAACCAAAATATTCTATCTGAAAGTGTTTACACAACTCTCGATTCATCCAAGTTATCATTAATTTCCCCAAGAAAGATTGAATATTTTCGTTGAAGATGACGAACGGTGAATCGACGAAGGACAGAACCAGTAACTTCGCTAAACTGGAAGGGTTCCAAGGATAGGATTTTCGAAGATGGCAGAAGAAGATGCAGATCCTGTTGACGACTCTAAAAGTCGTGTATGTGCTGAGTACTCCCAAACCAGAAGAACGAGAGGACGAAACCATTGAACATG